CAAGTCTGGTTTTGGTTGGACCCAGAACCACTTGGTGAAAGTCTCAGAGCTTCTTCAGATCAATGGTACTTTTGTTCATTCTTGGTTTAATTATTTTTGTTTCTTTCAGACAAACTAGTAAAGAAGGGAAAGAAGGATAAAAAGACAAAAAAATCGGTAAGTTTTACTCTTGTTGCATAAAGGTTTTACCATAGCTATTTTTAGTCAAGAGAAACTAGTGTTTCTCAATAGCAGTAGCACTTCAACTTATATATATGGCTTCATAGATTTTTTTAATGTCCCTGTGAGTTGCTGTTTGTGAGTAGGCGGCAATATAAGAATTTCTAAATAAAATAAATAGTGCTTTACAGCCTTCTCTTAGTGGTTTACCGAATCAGCATATTGCCCCCAATCTGGGTCCTTGTTTTACCAATCTTAGAAGGATGGAAGAGTGTTTGGTAGTCTTTAGGGGTTCCTGGAAGTAAAATTTGTGGAGCAGAAATCAACCCCCTGTCTTAAAATGCTTCTCTGTATCCCTTAAGAACAGTACCATTAGCACAGTTCTTTAAATATGGGTCTGAGTTTGGGTTTGGTATGAACTGGGGGTAAAAGCTATTTTTGCATGGTTTAATCCAGATTAAACCTTGAACTCTGATTCTTTTAATTTCAGTAACACACAGAAAAGACACAGGGAAGTGCCCTGAAACAAATTACTTTGCAATTGTTTGTTAAGAGTTGCCTAGGATCAGCTAGACATCAATATGTGAGACAGGAGGCCCATCTACATGCTTTAAATAAATAAATGCCATCATTCTTTTGGTAGGTTAAGGAACATGGCCCACATTACTCCCTGTGGAGTTCCTTTTAAGTTCCTTTTCTAAGCCCAGAATGAGCGTGGTCAAAATATAAGTAGTCCTCAACTTACAACAGTTCATTTAGTGACTGTTCAAAGTTACAACCGCACTGAAAAAAAGTGACTTATGACCATTTTCCACACTTAATGATAATTGCAGCATTTCCTGTGGGTCACATGATCAAAATTCAGATGCTTGGCAACTGACTCGTGTTTATGACGGTTGCAGCATCCCGGGGGTCAGTCACATGATCACCTTTTGAGACCTTCTGACAAGCAAAGTCAGTGGGGACACCTGATTCACTCAACAACGGTGTGACTAATTTTAACAACAGCAGTTATTCCCTTAACAGCTGTGGCAAGAAAGGTCATAAAATGAGGCAGCACTCAATTTAACAACGGTCTCACAGTATAGAAATTTTGGGGTTCAATTGTGGTCATAAGTCGAGGACTACTTGTACATGACAGGGTTTTTTTGTAGGCGATAGAGCAAAAAAAAAAATCAGTGCCTTAAATCTCTCAGAAATTTAATATGCTCCCTTTCATTACTTAAAAGCCTAATTCCATTCCTTCCCAAATTCTATGTTTTCTATTTGGAGATTTTTAAAGGAACATAATGTTCCCATTTCTGTACTTTAACTTACACCCTCCCCCCTTGCATTTAAATCAGGGGTTCCTAACCTTTTTTTGGCCATGCCCCACCTAAACATCTCTAAAATCCTGATCCCCCCCATGACATATAATTCTTTACTGAAAAAGTGAACTCTACTCACGCGGTGGAAGCCTAAAAGGCCATTAACTTAGTTTAAACAAGGTTCAAATTGCCCCCATTAAAAATCAAATTATCCCCCTGTGGGGCATGGGCCCCACATTGGTAACCGCTGATCTAAATATTGTTCCATCCACCCTAACATGTTATCATCAAATACCATCCTCCCATAATTCCTGAAAGTTCTGGGGTCTATCTTCTTACAGCTCCCAACCGCCAGAAAGTTACACACCTTTGCAGTAGGAGTGG